AATAACTAGAAATTTCAGAAAAACCTGTTGCTAATAAATTCTTAAAAACCTCCGTAATCCCCAGGTGATCTGATTTCCCAGGTGGATGATTTCAGTAACATCCAACACCTGGGAGCTCCTGATCTTTGTAAAGGAGAACAACTTTGCACAAATGTTAATTACAGAAATTAGCAACTGCAATAATCATCTGCACAAACTGAACTTGAAGCTTCTGGCTGTAGCAGGATTATGTCTTATAACATCTCCTGCAGGTTGGACATGCAGAAATAACTGTATTATCTGAAAGATTTCACAGAATCACACAATATTCTCAGTTGGAAGAGACCCACAAGGATCAGTTTGAAATTATTCACATTGCACTAAACAGACTTCCTAGCATAATTTTTCTAGGACTAAATTCCTTTGTATTTCTTAATCTAATATTTCTGTATATTCCTCTGTAGTTTGACTCCAGTGGGCTCTTTGCACTGAAGTTAATATTGGGAAAAACATAGGCTCCTCTTTGTCATGGACAATTTTAAACTGTTGCTCTGCAATAAAGAAACCAAGACTAAGAGCAGGGTGTTTTTTCCTCCCCCATGATGATATTTCTGTGTCTGGCAGCACGAGAGGGAAACAAAGAAGGTGCTTGACAAACACTCTTTATGTCATGCCAAGAGAGAATTCTTTAATCCTGTGGAATGAATGATGGAGGATATGCAACACTTCCCAAAGTGGGAGTTCAGCATGTCAGAGCTGGTTTAAGTGCCAGGCTGGCACTTGGGGAGGGGGAGATTTGCCTCCTCACCTGCTAAACATCCTTGGAATAAACTATTTCTCCCAAATGTTCCTCTCTCCCCGAGAGGAAAACAAATCCTCTTTTCCCCGAGCCCTACAAGGCAAAGTGTGAGTTAAGATTGAGCCTTAACTGTGGAAGGGTCTGGAGAACATGTCCTGGGAGGAGCAGCTGAGGGAGCTGGGGGGGTTTATCTGGAGAAGAGGAGGCTCAGGGGGGACCTCATTGCTCTCCCCAACTCCCTGACAGGAGGGGGCAGGGAGGGGGGTCGGGCTCTGCTGCCATGTCCAAGGGAAAG